GACAGGGCCATTTAGAAAGGTATGAAACAATCAAAAACCAGATGCAGAAGTAATGTCCATCAAGATGGCTTTATGGGAAACAGCTTGCTATCAAACCCAGTTTCATATCTCTAATACACGATTTGTAGGTTAAAGTACATAGACATAATATGTAAAAAATTTGTGATTGTCTTTGATTAAATATTATCTTCAGAGGGAAAAAAACTCAGAGGGTCCCACAAAACTCATTCAGAAGGTCCAAAAAGAGAAAATAAAGAGAGAACTGGAAAATATGCTGACATCACTTAGTCCATCCCTGCCCAAATGCTTCACTGTCCCAATGTCTGCAAGGAGTTTGTCACACCTGCTGTTAAAATCTTTCATGATAGGGATGCCATCAGATCTTCCATGTCATTTCTATACAAGTTTTCTGAATGCTTCTGCACAAGAACATATCACACTACATTTAGCTTCAGGTATCTTTTCAGTCTAGACATTTTTTTTCTTGAATCTGGATCTACAGCACTATTAAATGAGACCACAGGGTTACCCAGGACACAGTGTGCTTCCCTAGGAGACAGATAGATGAGGTGGTTAAAAATTAACATCACCATCTACAAGGAGTCTGTGGTCCTGTGTAGCACTATCCTTTCAACTTCAGCCTATCAATTACAAACATTCAGACTATGAGGCAGACAAAAGACCTTTTTTTTTTTTTATATATGATTCTGTAAGAATTTGGACTTGAAAAAAAAATAAATACTGCATAATTTTTACTTACATTCTAATTTGCCATTGGGGTAATCTGAGTCATGACTTATGGCTTTTTCACTGCAACCACTAAAACTAATAACTGTTTGTGGGTTATTTTTTTCTTTCCAAACTAAGTGAATAATCTCCTGCAATGAGTTGTGTCCTTGAGCAAAGCTTTTGACTGGAAAAACAAACCAGTGCCTAATTTGAAAACTACTGTTCTTTATAAACAAGCTGGGAATTTTGAAATGCAGTGCAGCTTTCCAGAAATAACTGGGAACTACACAGACATTTTATCAGACAAGATAGAAGAAAACAAAAACGATCTCACACTTGTTAGCAGGCACAGAGGAGAGCAGGCACCACTCAGCAGCTGAGGGAATGAAGCAGCTTCCTACATCTCAGGGCTGTCCAGCATCTGGAACTGCTCTGGGTGTCACTGCTGGTCACCAGCAGTGCTGGACCTGAGCATGCTCTAATACACCCTGACCATCAGAAATTTGGGAACAAAGATTTGTGCAGAGAGTGTCAACATCCAGGAAACAAGAGTGTATATAAAATTCTCATCTCTGTGCCTGGGCTCATAGAAAGGGTTGGACTAAAAACAAATGGGAAGGTGTCAGGAGCTCTATGGCACTGAATCTCATACCCCTGGGACAACGAGGAAGAGGGTAGTCACTGAGATATCACACTGTGTCTGTGCTTGGTTTAATTCAGTTTGACTGCCACATCAAAAATGCAGCTCATGTGAGATGCTAATGACAGCCTTCTGCAACGTAATGCTTTCAACAACAATTTATTAGTTTGGATAGGATCTAGGAGAGAATAAGGCTTTATACTAATGAAAATAATTGAAATAAAGGTTAAATACTGTCAAAATGCAACCATGCTGTTTCCATAACAAATCTGTGGGGGCTTCCACCTATGTAAAATTTTAATACATTTTTAGAGCTCTCAGCAATGCTTGTGACTAAAATGTTGGAAAATGGCTCCTGGGAGGATTAGGTGGACTGGTTTATGTATTATTCCAGTGCTGTGGGCATTTAGCAGCCTCCTGAAGTAAGTAATTATGATGGGGAACTACTTCAGTGTTTCTGTGCTGTAAGACTTAGGCAGAAAATCTTAAACATGTAAATTATTAACCACGTCTTATCAGATCTCCTTGGAGTTTCAGGCTTCTCACAAGTTTTATGATGGAGCTCCACTCTCCCAGTGTGCAAATACACACACACACATGCTGTTAGTGTAATGTGGTTGCCACAGAATTTATTTTAAAAAGTAACATGCAACACAACCCATTAGAAAATACTAGGACATGGTGTGTGAAAAAAATCAAGCCTGGTTCAATTCCACTCATGTTAGTGAGTTCTTGATGCAACACATTTGCTGAAACCATCCACAATGAATTACTGAGACAGAAATAGGAGTGCAGAAACAACTGCCTTTAAATAATAGACTGTTGATGCATTTAAAACAGTTCCTTATTATTTTTTTCCTATAAGACAAAACTTCCTATGGCTTTTCCTGGGTCCTGGGAGTTTCTCCAAAAACAAGCATTGAACTCTTTTCACACTATGGCAGGGTCCTAGATAAAAAGGTGTAGGAAGGTTGTTATGAAATATGCCTAACATGAAGGGGAGCCTTCAAGAAAAAGCTGGTGTAAACAAAACCTGCTAGTGAGGGCAATGAGATGCACTAAGACAATGCCAGGTTGCTCAGGCACTAATTCATGTTTGTTGTGGTTCTAGCCTCAGGTAAAAATCCTTAAGATTTAGAAGTGTTACTGAGATATTTTAGAAATGTTGTGTTAGCCTTTCCTACCAGTCTATTTCCCCAATCTCTCTTGCTATAGCTAAAGCAGAAGAGGTTGTGAAAGAGCAGATCTATCTTGGCCATGGGTGGTGCTGCCTGCTTCCCACTTCTGCCTCTATGCAGGTGTGGCATCTGCCCCAGCCCCCCATTTCAGCCCCTTAGCAGAGCTTTGCCTTGGGGCTACTGAATGCTGCACAAACCAGACTAACATAGCTCATTTTCCTTCCCATCACACAGTTCCTGCCATGCATCAGTAGAAACCAGCACGCAAAACAAAGACCAACTATTATGCAAATAGAAAAAAAACAACTTATGGTTTCAATTTAAATCTGTAAACAATTACAGATTTAAATAAGAAATCAAGTTCACTGTACAGGATGGATAACCTTAGAAATAATGATGCTTGTGTTCACTTCCTTGAGTTACATATTGCTGTAATAAAATGGTAAAGCAAAAGATGAAATAGATACTGACAAATTAACAGGTTTTTAATATGAAATTGACTGAATAGTAATATGACTACTGCTTGTTTTCAAGTGCTACTTCTTTTTATAAGTGAGATTTTAGATTTTTCAGAGTATATGATATTTCCAATCCTAAACAGTTCCATTTCATCATTTAACAGGCAAAGAGTCTGGGAGCACAAGAGCAGGAAACCAGCACAGAATTCCCTCTCAGAAGGCATTTAAATTTTATGTAGTAAGCCAGGTCTATGACAAAAGTATGTGTAATATAATGTAATTGTATAATTTCTCAAAGTTTTACATAATGACTTTCTGTTTCTAAATAATACTTCATTATTGGAAGCAGGAGAATGTAATTGTTCTCTGGGTACTGCTGTTAGCTCCTAAGGGCGTGATCAATCCTGCCAAGACATATAATTCATGCACTGTTTGCTTCTGATACAGCTACATTTACGAAAGCAATGCAGTGATTAGATTCCTCCAGAATAAATGTGTCTATAAATCCCTGTGTTGTAAATATTATTAACAGCTACATCCAGTAAAGAACTTGAGCCACTGACATGAAGCTGAGGCAAAACTAAGAGACCTCCAAATAATCCATAATTATTTTTAAAAATTTAAAAAATAAAATCCCATCTCTGCTATGGTTTAACCCTGGACACAATCACAAGGCACCCTCCTATCTACTGTAGTCTACTCAGTGCCTGAGGGGCTGCTCCAGCTTCTGCTCAGTGGGAGCTTCTCAAACCCTTTTCCCACACTAGGGAGACCTGAGTCATGGCATTGAGCATGCTTCTGCCACATTTTTTGAAAGACTGAATCTGATAGATATTTAACACAGTAGGAGCAGAATTAGATGCCTTCACAAAAGCAACCAAGGACAACTCATAAAAAAAAGTGGCTATTTTATCAGCCAGTAAGTGTTCATGAAGGGAGATCACTCCCACAGCACCTCATGCCAAAGGAGAATAGTGCCTTCAGTTACCTCAGGCTAGACATGATTGTAGGTAATGATCCAGGTACTCATAGAAATTACACCGCCTGAACAAAGGGTAAAATTCATGTCTACAAATGAAGACATCTGGAACAGATCTAGCTGGAGAAAGACTAGTGTTTTAGGGCATAGTTCATCTCATTTAAGCAATGAAGCAAAAACTCACGATGTGCATCACTCTTTGGGATTGTTTTTTGCCCACACTGACTACAAAGGGAACCCTAAAAAGCTAAATCAGATATAAATGTATGCACTGCAGACTGCTAAATTTAGCTGAATCAGTTTTGCACCAAGCATTTATTAATAATTTAACTAACCAGAAACATGGATGAAAGTGAGTCAGTACATTGTTTTAATATTATTTATGCTACCGTTGGACTGTGCAGGGAGCAGAAAGATGAAACACAGACTGAATAAATATAAATCTTTCTTAACTGTGGAGAAACTCATATTTATGTATGTCCTTGTATCCAGAAATACCATATTGATTTTCCATCATTTCCACATATTCCATTAATATACAGAAATTAAATTCTGAAGGCAGTAATTTTTAAAAGAGAGAGAGAGCAAGACAGGGTAGGACTTCAATAAACCTATAGGATTCCTGTAACAGTCCAAGGAGATTTTCACACTTAGCTTTCTAACTACTCTTGTTATTGGGTTCCATGGACAGTGTCAGGGAATCTTCTCAGGACATCAATATAATCAGTTTGTTTCAGCACATTTCCAGATCAGTCTTGAAGAAGACAGTTGCTATTTACTTTACAGTTTAGAAAGGCTGATTCTTAGACCTTTCTTCCCATTTGCAACTAACATGTACAGTGCAGCTGTACCAAGCTTTTTGTTCCACAGTGGCCTATTTCCAACCTATTTAATTTAGGAAAAGACCACCTACATGAAGACATGTTTCCAGGGTTCATGTAGCATCTAGTAATCTCACCAGTGTACTTCTTGCTTTCTTTGACCCATAGTCTACATTTAAGAAGAACATCACTTACTGTCTTCTGAGTGTTCAATTCACTGGTATTTCAGATAGGCCGATAATTGGTCAGGAGGAAAAACTCCCATCAGCCACCAGCAGCTTCAACTTCCTCTCCCTCCAAGCTGTCTTAAAGGTAAAGCTACCCCATGACATCATGTATTGTAATTTTCCTGCAAATGACCCATTTAAAGGAGAGGCAAAGATGTTAAGTATCGCAATGTCATAGAGAAAAAAAGACAAGAAAAACAACAAAAAACAAGAGAAACTGTTGGTAAATCCCCAATTGGGGTTTGCAGTCCTCGTTATAAAAAGTAAAGATAAGAAATAATCCTTAATTGAAAGAAAACGACTGAGAGATCAGCACTCATAGCTCATCTGATTCACCTTTGCTTTCTCCCTGAGCAAAACCAGTTGCAGCATAAATAACATTGACTGTGTTGCCTGTGGTCTTTTTTAATTACTCATGTTTTAACTTTTCTCTTTTTGTTACTTACTTCCCATATTAATCACAGCCTGCTACCTTTCTGTTGTTTTTGGGTTTTTTTTGCTTTCATCTGCTATCTGTTCTTAAATTTAATTTTGTTAGTGTTTTTGTTTGCCTGCTTCAGCTAAGCACCACCTCATTCTCATGCAAGCCCTCAGCTCAAGTGGTCTCTCCAGCATGAGCAGAATTCAGCTTCACAGCAGAATTCTTTTACTGTGGTGGACAAACGGGATGTGTCAGCAAAAAGGATGAGCCTGTGGACTTCAGGTAAGAGCTTGACTACTCTCAAAAAGCACAAGTGGATGACTGTCCACGCCGGAGATGGGAGTAAGGTAGCAGAGGTAGTTGTACCTGGGAAGGCACAGAGAGAGCAGGCATCTTGGCTGTCCTCCATCAGACAAGATGGCTCTCTGCTGGCTCTCCCTTTGTCTTTCCAGCCACCTTTGCTAAATTGCAAAGAGAGCAATTGCTAAATTGCAGAGAGCTTCATACATTTGACTCCCAGTTTGACAGATTTGGCCCGCTCGAAGCTCTGAGCAGTTTGCAGTAGTTACATAGACAACGCCCAACCAGGAGCATAAATAAAAACACATGCATGGTTCTCAGTTCTCAAATGGAGATGATAACAATTTACCTCACCCTGTGGACAATCAACATTAGAAACTTTGGAGGAATACATGTGACCCCACCCAAGCCATATTCAGTGTACCCTCAGCCGCTTGAAAACACAGCCACAGAAAAGCTAATTATGCAGTGCTAGGCCAGATTAATGTGTTGCAACCCCAGGTAGCACTCTGAAGATTTAGCCTCTTGAGCTCTCAGGCAGTAATTTCCCTGAAGGAAACAGAACAATTGTGCCAGCTCCTGCAAGCCTTTCATCACTATCAACACACAGCAGCTCCAGTAGCATGCCAGAATCAGTCAGGGTCTTTAATACAAGAAGGAACCACAAGGGAGCATAAAACCTTACTGACCTTCCCATTCCCTCGGTATTGTGGGATGGCAGCCTGAAGGAAGCTGAGGAGTAATGTGGTTTTATCAGGGATAGCCTGGCCTTGAAGAACACAGGGTAGGAGTCCTCCCAAGGTCTCTGCCACCCCTGTTCCCTATGATTGCTGACTGGTCAAATTAGAGCATCCCTAAATGGATGAGCCACTTCAGATTCTAACCTCTAACCAATTTAAAATGCATAAGAAAATTGTCTTAGCCTTTCCTCTCACTGAAGGATGTCTCCCACTTTAAAAAGATCTATTCACTTAGCACTGAGATGACATTCCTAAGCCAAATTCAGACACTATATGGATTGTACTGTTTCCTTTAAAAAGTTTTCACTTTTCACTGAAAATTTGTATTATTTCTCATTTTCACAGCAATTTTTTTTCTGAATCTCAAGGCCCTTGGCAAAGGTAAATAACTGCAAAATAAACCTTTTGAAGAGCACAGTTCTAGCATCTATGTGTTCTATGAGAAATTGCTTATGAATGTATAATTTAGGGCTTCAAGGAAAATTTTAAAGCCAGGTATAAATTAAGGACCTAATACTGTACTCACTGAAGTCTGTTAGAACATGACTGGACTTTAAATGACCACTGGAGGTTACTGTTTCCCCACAGAAATTCAATGAGTCAAGCATTATGCTAATTCTTTTCAATTATTAAATAGAGGCATCTTTAATATCAGTGGCTGCAAATTGCTCCCACACATGGCAGGCTTTGTTAAGCATGTTCCAGGGTGGCAGAAATCAGGGGCAGGGGAAGGGCATTTGAATGTATGAGCATAGAGATGCAGTCAAAGAAAGATTTCTCAAAGCTTATTATTATTAATTATTGTTTGTATTACTTCAGGACCTAGGAAACCAACATTTACTAGATTTCTGTTGTGTGAAGAGCTCTACAGGCTGGACATTGGTTGTCCTGGCCACCCACAGCCTTAGCAAGAGACAACAGGCCCTCACAGGCAGATAGGAACCCAGCAGACAGAATCAATCGGTGAGACAGACAACAGCATCCACATGCCAGTGGCACATCATCATCAAGTCTTGGCAGGAATTACAGACACAGAAGGATATTTTAAGGCAAGATCCAAGTGGGGGAACGATAAAGCTGTTTTGCACATATTTACAGAAGTTACTTTGCAGTGCATTGGGCAGCATGAGCTCTTTTGGTGTGCTCCTGAAAAGAGACGAGCAAGTAATATTGATTTTCAGGGACCAGGGGCAGCAACCAACATCTTAAGAATGAATGAGAGCTGCCAAGCTGGTTCACATGACTGATTAACTGTTTGCAGTTTTTAGCCACTGTGGGTACCTTGTTTTATGCCTTAACATATCATTTCACCTTAAAGGTTGTACGAAGGTGGGTTTTTTAGGATAGATGTAGTATTATTGTCCTTTGTCCATATTACTTCTATCTGGAGCTTGTAGTACAAATTTTTTTCTGTGCAGCAGTGAAAAACTTTCTACTGTAAATTTGGGATAATAATTCCCTTTTTTGTGTCTTACTCATTCAAAGGCAAGTTCTGGGAGACAGGGGCTGCCTTTTGATTTCCATTTGTGCAATTCCGGTACAATAGATCTGGACAAGGGCCCCTAGAAACCCCAGTACAAGTAGCAAAAACAGTAACAAGGTAATCTTAACCTCTCAAAATATCTTCAAAGAGTCAACACAAACTTTAATGTTTTAAGTCATGTCAGGAAGAGCCTAATGGCAGTTTACCCACAAGAACCTGATGTTCCTCACTATTGGCAGCCAGAGGCATCTAATGGCATGTTAGAGGCAGCACAACAAGAAAAGATCAATGTGACACAAAAAGAAAAAAAAAACACCAGCCCAGTGGTGTGTGGAGAAAGCATTGTGAGGCTCAGGGGAAGCAGCTGCTTTGTCATCTGTAAGGCTCTACAAAATACCACAATCTGAATAGAATAGAAGAATTTTAAAAATAGTACTCCGTTTTCCCTACTTTAAAAATTTGTCACCCCCATCATCTTCTCTTCTACAAAGTTCTGCTCTCTCTCAAAGCCTTTTAACTTTAATATTAGAGTGACATATCACTTTTTTCCTCTTTCCTTTTATTTGGGGGGGGTGTGAGGGAGGATTTGAATATTTTCCTTTGTTGGATTTATTTTTTCCAGTCCAAAGCTGGTTTTGAAATTCTAAGCAGGGTTGGAAGCTTTGGTAGAAATTCAACAACCTTCTGTTTATTAAAAAAAAAAATAAAAATCTGTGATTTAAATCTCTGTCACACTGTGAAAGGGCATTAACATACTCTTTTCAACTGTTTCATTGAAAGTTTTTCAGCAGGTAAAGCAGGACTAGGCACAAGAGAAACATCACCTTCAAAGGGTGCTGGGTCTTGCTGTCTCCCAAATACATTCCCCCCAGCACAGACCGCCAACCTCAGTTGGGTAGAAGGATACAAAGTCTTTCTCCTTCCAGCTGTCACTTCGAGTTTGGGTGAGTCTGGAAGGCAACACCAACCATTACCTCTTAAACAGGTACTGGATAAACACTGTGGTTGGTATGAGCCATGTCTTAACCATTCTACCAGGGGTGGAAATGGCAATAGGTGGGTTCACATCTGAAGTAAATCACTGCTAGAGCAGCAAGAGTCCTCACCCAGAAACCAGGAAAAATTATCCTGATGCAATGAGCAGAGGAAAGGACTCGGGGAGCAAACTGTCCCCACTGGCAAACAGCAAACAAATGGCCTACCAAGGAATACTTTTATTAGAGGCAGAGAAACAAAATGTCTTTAACAGGCAGAGAAACAGGGCAACAGCAAGTCATTCTCAAAGCACAACTGGAATTTTTAGGTTGTTTTTTTTCCAGAAAGAGAGCAGCCACAGCAGCTGGATGCCTTTCCCTTTCTCTGCCAGCGTTCACTGACCATGCAAGATTCTACAGCCTTTCAAGGCTCGTCTCAGCTGAGCAGGTCGGCAGTGGGTGGCCCTGGGCTCTGCTCCATCACCCACCACCTCCCATCACTCCTCCTCCACAGCCATGCCCTTGTGTTACCCACACAGCACAGGGACAGCTCCAGCCTTCCTGCAGTCAGTTCTGCCTGCTGCTTTCTGAGCAGCCCATAAAAGAAAGCAGATGTCACCCACCTCTGAGAGCAAAGGCAGATTGCAAGTTGCCCAAGAAGCAGGGGGACATGCTGATAACTTTCCCATTTCTCAAGAAAAGTCACTTCTGGGTGTGGGTAAGGAGGAAATAGGCAGGGGTGAGGGGAGGAAGAGTGTGTGGGAGCATGTTGGTCCCCTGACAGAAGTGCAAACAGGTCCAGCTGCTTAAGCACTGTCACGATGCTGAAACTTGAAAGGAAACAAGAAAACTGAATTAGTGCAATGCTGTTTCTTTTTCTGCAGGTCTGGGTGCTCTCAGGGAGTAAAAATGTAGTCCACACAAAGCCTAAAAAACATTGTGCTCTATCAAGGGCAGAATAAAAAAAAATAATTTAAGGCTTCCTCGCTTGCAAGGGGAAAATCATTCCTCTCTTGTACTGCAAGTACATATTGAAAAAACTGATGCTACTGAAAAAGCTCATGCAGAATTTTGGGGGAATGATTCCCAAGATCCTTAAATATTTACTTTATAGGACTCAGTTAACATCTTTGATGCAGAGGTACACAAGGTTGATGGAGAGAAGACCAGCAAGTTCTGAACCAGCCCTTGTAGAAGTAGGATTCTCTAGAGCAAACAGCAAAATTATCCATAAAAATGACATTTCATTTATTGTAAGTCTTGTAAGAATGCCTACTCTGTTCACAGAAATCTGCTGTTGGTTAGAAAAGCCACTTTTCAAAGGAGTGACAGAAATTACCTGCCCTTCTTGGTGTCTAGCATTTACTTTTCTACCTTCATTTAGCTGCCTTGATAGCAACACTAATTTAACTAAATTACTGCAGTTTGCTCAGGCAGAGACAGTTACATCAATAAAGAAGTGTTAATATATACATATATGTATATGTGGTATCAGCTAATATATCAACATGGTGATTATACAGATTTAATGTATTTTTATTTCTCCTCCAATCACTGAGTAAAGTCTTCAGAATAGCTTTAGTAAGCACACACAGTAGTTGGTAAACTTTCATATCACTTTGATATGATTGATAAAATTGAGATTAAAAATTTCCTCTGGGCTACTGACAGCCAGAAAAGTTTTTAAGGTATAAGATGTTATTTTAGTGGTGGATTTATTTCAGCTCTAAAGCTAGACAGATTTCAGACAGTGCACACTGACAAAATGACACATTCAGTGGTTCCACTTCGACTGTGACCATTACAATATTGCTTGATCCTGTCACTCTTATTCCAGAGATAATTCCTCTTTCTTTTTCCAAAGAGAACAAAAATAAAAGTGTGAGCCTGCCTTTTTATTCCACCTTCGGGCAGCACTAGGACAGGGCAAGTTGGCTCATGATGATGTGAAATAACCATTAAGTAGATGGATACATGGCAGCAGAACTGGCAATTATCAGTTGACAATGGAACTGTCAAGGGGTATGTAAGAAGGAAACATGTCTGGCTATGCAGAGTCCTTAGTAATCCATAACTTTTTATTGCCTCATCTCAAAACAGTTTAACTAGTGCTCAGTATCATATAAAACTAAGTTCACAATAGAGAAGCCATGAGTCAAAGCATTATTCAAAAATTTGGTTTTGAAATTTTTATAATATCTTGATAAATGATGCAGTTAAATTTGTTGTTTTTTCTTGAAAGTGACAGCACTGGCTGTTCGAAGCTCTGAGCATGCAGTAGCCATTTTCACTAAGAGGATAGGAGGAGCAGAGAGCACAACTCCTCCATTTCAGAGAGTGTTGTTCACAGATGCAATCAAAGACTCCTTTGTGGAGCAGGAGAGACATTTTTCAATTAATGATTCCCACGTTAACTTGCTAAAAATTGTTGTTAGGTTTTATTTGAGGAATAAAGTTAAAATACCTGTGTTCAAATATTTTGTTTTCAAATTTAAGCTAAACCGTCGTACGTTTTTATCTGAGCTTGTGCTCTAAATATTTTTAATCCAAATCATTTTTGAGATATTAATTTTGCACTATGACCAAAAGAAACATTTTTAAGACTTGAATATACTCCCACTTACGGCTCATGGGGTTTTTTTTCCTTTGACAGCTGAGTTTTGAATAGTTTTGTCTAATGGACATAGAAGTCACAGGGGGAGACAGCTTGCAGTGTGATATTTTGATATGGCGCCCTCTTTCTGCAAAATAAATAAAATTCAAAAATTCAGGGAAAAAACTCCAGCTATTTTTTTCTTACCAGCTTCAACCAGTGTTATTCATCCTTCCTTCCGCTAACATATTCCGTTTCCTACCTCTTTTTTGATCTCTTGAAGTTTGCCAAAAAAGGTTGTCCACAAAAATACTTCATGAGAGAAGTCAAACATGTGAGTAAAAGATAAACTCAGCTCATTAATAGTTTGTGCAGGAGAAGCCACCCTTCCCTTGGTGAATCATTGCCATGTGCTACAAAGTTACTGTAAATATCTTGAGACAGAAGAAAATAATTACTGTAGCATTTTAAAGCCTCAACACTTTATGAAAATTTTAGATATTAGATGTTACTAGTCCTACCAAGTCTGACACCATGGAAGCTGAAAGTTTGTCCAGGGAGAACCAAAGAAATACGTCCCCATAACTCTGATACAGTAAAGCTTTACTGCCACCTTTTTCCGAAGCACAAGTTAGGGACCCTGTTAAAGTAAGCATGTAAATTCATAGCTATCTTCACTTACACTTTAACACATCCTTCCATTTGGAAGGCACTGGCAGACAGTAGATTTTAATCTGAGTTTTCCAGAAAGATGATATCTACTCGATCTCTTTTGCTAGAGCTCTCAATGGAAATAGACATTATGTCAACAAAATCACTTATTTTTATCTTCGAATGATGTTTTGAAAAAGATGTGATGTTAAAGGTTTATTTCTTAGCTGAGAGAAAACGTAAGAAGGAATGGGACTATTATTCCATAGCCAATTTGAGTCTATATAATTTTACCTTCCTCTCTGGGTTATGAATTTCATATCTGCTGCCAATAAATTTCAGGTTTATTGTAGTTGGTGTTGGGTACCTCAGCCCTGTTATGGCTGGTTATCTCATTCTCACAATCCATTTGATACAACCTAATCCATTAGTAGTCATTTTCCCTCTTAGGAGCACAGCCATTATTTCTTCTCTGATACGTGAACAGACATAAAAATAGCAGAGAAAAATCAGGTGACAGACTCCACATTGTGGATGCCATAGTCAGAAGTTTTCTATGCAATAAGCAGCATCAACAAAACCTAAATTAATCATAACTGACAGTTCAATAAATATATAAAGAAATTAATAATTAAATAAATAAAATACTCAAATGCACTGATGACATGCTGGGAGTAAAGAAGAACAGTTCAAAGTTTCTCTCAGGAAAGACAAATCCCTCGCTCTGTAAGCAGCAGAGATGATGAAACATGTCTCTGTTCTCTCTCTGGACTATCTGAACTGATTTCTCATCAGTTTCCCCCATGATGGGGGATGAACCCTCTGCCTCCTCTACCAGCTATTTTCATATAGAGGTTTATTATTTTTGTTGGGGGTTTATTATTTTTCTTTTCTTTACATTTCTGGCAAACTTTGATGAAATCAACTCATGTGTCAAAATGTTTTAGGCCAGTGTTGGCAGGACTACAGACAACTGATCACCAGCACGTTTTCATATTTGCTCAGAAAAAAAAAAGTTCACATCCCATGGAAGTGGCAAGTGTAAGAAAAGGCCCCTACTTTAACTGCATGATTGCTGTCATGACAAAAAAGGTGCTCATAAATCCTTCCTTCAGCAGAATGAGCAGACGTAGGTTAAGGTATAAAAGGCTAGATATGGGTCCAAGTGGATCTCCTGTCTTTGTCCACAGAAAGGAAGGAACGTGTTACTTGTAATCCATGTCCTTAGTGATAGGTAGGCACCTACCTTATACCATCCTCAGCAAGTTATGTAGATATTTACCTGTAAAACTCTGATCCCTAAAGCTGTACAGAAAAGATCCTGCATACGAGATTAAAAAAACAAACCCTATTTAAAAGAAACAAACCAATTTTAAAAGAAATTCCTACCTGTCACATCCATCTCTAACTAAAATTTATTAACTTGACATAAAAGTCAAATTTTTATCAGGGATTTGAAGACTGAACTAAACCAACTTTTCTTCTTGAGACACAATCCTGTAAGAACAGTACCACTGGGTTCTGTGCAGCATACATGTACTCTGAAAGGGTTTTTACAGACCTAAGAAATCAGGCTTAGCAAAATGGTGTTTTCCTTCCTGAAGTACTTAAAAGCTTTGCCATGGATCCAGACTTGCTGATTTGCTGCAGGACTCGCACCAGTTCAGTCCTCTGCTTGTCAGGGCTGGCAGCACCAACCTCCTCAGGTCACTCCCATGACTGCAGCCTGTCTCATGTTATCCTGAAAAACACTCCAAGAACATGCTGAGCAGGGGAATTATACTGCGTGGCCATGACTCATCTATGCACAACAGTTCTCCAGAAAACATGAGGCAACTATTGGAAGAGTGAGCCCTTGTGGGGTTGTGTACATGGCAAATCTCTCAAGCTTTACTTTCATCCCACTCTCAGTGCTGTGGGTCTCTGAACTTCATCAGAAAAAAAATGCTTATTAATGATTCAGCTCTGGGAACTCCAACAGATGTAAAGGAGAAAATGTACCCTTTGAAAAAGATCTGAAAGAAATCTTCTCTTTCAAATCTCTCCTCAAGACCTACCTCTGCTGTGACATCTATCAGCTAGATAATAATCCTCACATGTTAACAGCAGTCAGGGACAACCCACACCTCTTATTAAAGGTGTTTTGCAATGACTCAAACACCATGCTGAGTCTACAGATAATTTATATCATCTTGTGGTTTCATTCCCACCTTCCTTCCTCCCTTATTGTCTCCTTCCTCATTAAATTTATTTGTTATATTCTTTACAAGGCCCTGTCCTAAATGTATGTGTGTTTATATATGTATGTATATATGTGTGTGTATGTATATACATACTTGCCTTGCACTTCCACACATAACCTCTCCATTCTCAGAAAAATTACCTGGACCTTCCTACAACAGAGCTTCCACACACAACGATTCACACTTTACATTTTTAAGCCTTAGAAATCAAAAGCAAACAAGGAAAAATAATCTTAAGACATTTTTTAGTATCTGATGAGGGGAATATTTTGGTTTTAAGTGATTTGAATTAGTTCCCTTAAATATATGGAATTACATTATTTGAAAAATAAAATAGCAGGATCAAATAAGACCTTACATCTGTCAGAGAAACTCTTTAAGGAAAATGTTCAAACACAAAATTCTTAAAAATTCTTAATGTTTTTCCCCCTCCTTGGAAGTCACACAAAATAAAATTTAGAATGATATGTCATCATTCTAAGTGAATTTTAGCAGAATCACTGCTCGTTTTACTACCTCTCTATATATATTGTAGAATGGCTTACAATATGAAAGACATTTTATAATAAAGAGGTAGGTAAAGCATGACAAGTTAAGATAATGGTTTTAGTCTATTAGTGCTAGGGATGGGGATAGTTTGTTGCTATGGATGAAAATTTCTTCTTTGAATTCAGATGGAATTTGCCACCATGACTTTGTCCAAACCACTGTTCTGGGACACAGACCAGGGTCTCAGGCCTCAGTTTCATTATCTGCTTTGATGACTTCAATCAGTAACGCTGGTGCATGGAAAAATTAAACATAAACAATAATGACATACCAGCTCATTATCACATTTGGGACAGAAATCTTTCACACAAGTGGCCCCATGTGTATATAGGACTCCAGTAAGGTCACCAGTATCTTTGAGAGCAGTTCTATTGATGACACAGCAAGCTTCCAGTTCACTCACAAGTGCACTGCACTACTCCACAGGCTACTCCCTACATGGAACCTACTGCAGTCAAGACCACAAGCTTCTTCTTTTGGATGTCCAGCTTCCCATGCTTCCTTAGAAGGCTGTCAGTGGCTTTTCTCCAGTGCATGAACACATCTCCTTTAGGACAGAGCAGCATGGCCTCAGCCCCATGAAGGCTTTAGGCTTGATAAACTCCTGATGGCAGTTTTGAACACAGTACTGCTTTCCTTCCCCACCTGAAAGCTCTTTCAAAGTGCCACATCCAGCTGAATGCTACATCACTGGCAGTTTTTTAACAAAAGCAGCCAAGTGAAGCTGAGATGTGTACAGTCTAGGGGTTACAGTAGAGATTTAGAAAGCCTCTGGAACAGCCTTCTCCTGCCCCCATACATGTCAGAAAAGCCTCCCTGCTCACCCCTTCCAAAGCCACCCTGATATCCAAGGACTTAACCCACAAACCAGCAACCAGGAGGCAGGTAAAACTGATGCAATGATTTCATCCTATTCAGAAGTTCCCTGAAGAGGCCTGAATTCCATCATGTCTCGAAAAAACAAAACACAACAAACCCAAGTGAGTTTAACACTCTCCATACAGCAGGAAGCTGTCTCTAGAGGAGACACCTCTGATCACTACTGCCCTGAGATTCCCAAACAGCATTTCCCTTATCAGATACAAGGAGTACTCTTGAAGTTCACCATTATCACAGTCCAGATGAGAGAGTATCAAGGTCAGAAACAGACAATTTGTAAAGCTAAGTTATGCTAAAGAGAACACCATACTGTATGTTAGATTATGCTAAAACCTTTGCTGCTGGAAGGCCTCTCAACATCTTACTGTGTCTCAGAAGTGATCTGAAGGTGAGGATTACTTGTCACATTTTGTAAACCAGGCAAATGAATCAGGTGTACACAATAAAATGGCTTTTTTATCAGAAGCCCTCAGCTGTCACTAAGACTGAGCAGCTGCTCAGAGGATATTAGTAGCTGCTGTGGCTGAGACATTGTCACTCTCAGCTCCTGTTTCAAGCCATTTGTGGTATTCTGGAAACCATAATCAAAACTGTGCGGCAGAAATCATTGCAGTATACTCAAAGAAAAATTAAAAAAGGAAAGCTGCACCAAGCTGGTGATCTAAAATATATAAAAACTATGGAGATCAGGTTATTCTACTTGTTTACTTGCTTCTTGGATCGTAGGGTGTATTTGCAGTCAAATCTCCTGGCTAAGTTGTGGATTTTCTTTAAAATGTGTCTCATCTTTCTGACTAAAATCTGAGCTGGTGCCTTGGACACCTAAGCCACCCAAAAACCCCTTTCTGTCTCTAGTGACACACAAAATTTAAACCAGTAAGCTATTTACTATGTTTTCACACACTAAATATTTTGCATAATAGAAGAGTTCAAATACTCTGTTATAATACAGGAGAAAAACTCCTGACCAGAATTTAAACAAGCTCATTAAACCACACTTGATATACCTCCAAAACAAATCAAACCAAGGGATATTCCAAAATACATCCTTAAAAATCACTACAAACAACAGAAGTTACTTCAAAATAACATCATCTGTGCATAAATCTATCCAGGCTGAATTAGGTCCTCATTAAATATAACGGCATAGACTCACCATCTTCATCCTTTCTTTGCTGTCTCCCAGAGTCTGGGTTGTTTTTTTTTTTAATAATCCACAGAAAGAGACAGAAGTTAGTGTCCTTCTAACTAGGAGGCTTTCCATAAATCCTTTTGCACATAATTCACCTTTAGCACACCTTAAGTCTTTCTTTCATTGCCAAAAAAAAAAAACCCAAACCAATAAACTACCTCAGTTCTATGAACAAATTTACCTGAGTGTGTCAGCTTCCACCTTTTTATACTACCAGAAAGAGGAAGGCCATCAGACCACTTCAGAGGTGGTGAATGGCAAGCCAAGGCCGAGTTCCCCAAAGCCCCCCAAGTAAATCTCAGTCACTAGTCTAGCTATCTTTTGTGCAGTTCATTTCACAAGGTATTTATGTGAGGGGTGAAAAATCACCTGTTAGCTTGCAAAAACTGAATAAAGAAATCTAAAGGAAACTGAAGCATCCACCTAGACTCCCTAAAAGAAAAGAAAAGAAAAAAAAAAGCAATAAACACCTACTATTTGGTGCAATGCAGTGTGTTCCAAGGGCAAGAACTTTTGTTCTTCAGAATTATTTTTATAATGTCACCTCTGCCAGGGATGATTTAAGAGCTTCTAGATAAGGAAATTAATTTCATCAGTGGCAGAAACATCACCTCAAGTCTCCCTTTAGCTTCCTGATGAATAAAACACTCTCCCCAGCCCTTTCTAGCACCTCACTGCTACATCCAGAAGCAGGACTTCAAAGCAAAAGGCAATTATTAGTGTAAAAGCCATCTTTAAGAAATTAAGAGAGCAAACACAAGTGCAATGAGTACAGGTGAGTTGACTGAGCTTTAAGGAGCTTTAAAACTACATTAAACCAGGTGTGTCCAATCTACTCCTTCGCACAGCTGCCACTACATAGCAATGCTGTGCCTCCTGCAAGTGAGAACAAATAGTACCTCACATTTGCAGAAAGTGAAGGCTGATGTAGCATTTCAGGTGCCTTACATGTAGGAATTGCTACTAGCTATTGCCAATCCTAATTGCCATTATTACTTGCATGTAGGAATCCTCTCTCTTTAATTTATACCACTTCCAACAATAGATACAGCAGGGTATCATGTAAAAATATAACTAAAACTTCAATACAAATTTCCCTCTCTGTACAGGGAAGATTTCTGGTAAGTCTCACCCACCAAGCCCTTCTTTTTCCTTATCTACCAGTTCTCCATAGTGAATGCCAATGACCAGGCAAAGGAATACAGGAGCTGGGAAATGATTTGCAATTCTCTCCTTCTGCCAACAAAAGTAGCTGCTAGAAGAGGATGTCAATCTTTCCCCCTTGTAATCTTTCTTCACAGCTAGAGTAAGGAAAAAGCATACTACACATTCCCAGTCATGAGTCACCCAAAACAGCACTGTGCTGGGTGGTCACAGTCTGGGCTTGCATAAGTGCCTTGGACAAGAACAAGGATGAACCTGAATTGTCCTACATAAGTTCCTTCAGTTCATCCCTGGATATTCTACATGTAATTTATTTTGAATATTGAGGTATTCTTTCCTATTCTACCAGGAGATTTTTACTCGGAGATGCTTGATCTGGAAAGATATTTTGTACAAGTCTCCATAATCTCCACAGGATTCATAGTCATCCTACTTCTTATGTACAGACAGTGGAGGAGCAGCATTGTTGGGTTAAGTTCTGATAAGGAAGGCCCCAGCTCACACAATATAGACATTTTCTAACAGCTAATGTTAAAGAAAGAAGCTCAGACATGTTCAGAGAATAGTGGTTATAACATTGGCAAAATGGGGATTCATCTTATAAAGGGACACTATTACAAAATTACTTATTCAGCTCGAAAAAATAAGCAAAGATGCCACATCCAGATAGAAGGCAACTGTGCTACAAATGCTTCAAGGAGAGAACACAAGAGAAGACCTTTCCAAATTCATGGACAGTGTTGACATATGAAGAAAATGATTACTAAGAAATGAGATTTCCAGCCATCTGGAGACTGAAGTTCTGGAACAGATTTTCAGAAAAAATGTACTAGGAACAAAACAAAAACCGCCAATCAAGGCAGTTCTATCTTCTCAAGATGGGGCTGGATGTGTTTGCAAAAGAGAGTTATTTGGAATGGTTTCTCACACAAAAATCCACCTCAGCACTCTGCCTGCTGTTTCCAAGCTAGGAATAACTTACAGACATTTCTAGGGAACACAAAGGCTGTTCTAGCAAACCTTTGGTCAGATCACCTTTCTATGAGGTACAATAAAGCAGTATATGCAAACAGTGCAACAAATTTAGTGAAAAATATATCTGAAATCTTTAGGCATGAAGAAGCAGAAAAAAACCTAAAGTTTTAGATGCTCATTTAGGGAAAAGAGCTATCTACAATGCACAGCATATTGAAGGGAAAGGAATGCAATTAGTGCTTGCTGCTGTAATTCAGGAGTGCTTGATCATTTTTTCTTAGTATGTAATTTACATATTAATACTGGAATATGTCATTTGTTTGTTCCTTGCATTATCACTCTTTGATAAGCACATGTCATTATTGCATACAAATAAGAAGCTTCCACCTGTCTGACAGAAAACACAGCCAGAAGTTATTTACAAAGGAGCCCTAGTCAGTCTGTTTCATGCCAAAATGAATCACCTGTCTCATTAATGGGCACTTTTCCTTCCTCCACAGCAAGCAGGCAGAGAAAGATCCTGACAGCAGAGCTGCTCACTGCAAGCCAGGAAGTAACACAAGGTATTCTGCTATGAGACCAACACACAGATGTGCTGGAATCATGCTCATGTGCCTCCTCAAGGTGCACCATGTACTTGTATTCCTTACAAAGATCAAAACTTAAAACCCATCTTTGAAGAAAATCAAGGCTTGGGAGGGAAAAAAGAAATTCCAGGAGAGTGACAGAGCAGAAGTGCTGGGGAAGCCTGAAAGCAGGGCTCAGCTCAGCACAGCCACAACCTCCTGCCTGTAGAAGGTTTTGAGTCACAGCAGCCACCTGAGTCCTCTGACACAGGCCAGCCTTTGATCAGTCAGTCAACAGTGAAGAACAGCATTAACTCCATATATCTGATGGAATGGCTATAACCATAAATATTTTAAGACACTTGAGTCAAACTAAAGGTCCATTCATTCCTGTAGCCAGCCTCTGGCTGTGGCTATCAGCAGATGCTCCCGCCAGGAAACATGGCACGCAGAGAGCCCTGCTGACCACGGCTGATATCCCCAGCAAGCAGGTGTTTGAGGCTGCTCTGTGCCAGAGTTTGTTCTCAGTGGCCTTCATTCTCCAGATCCATCCAATCTGCATTTCTACTTTTGCATCTGACACATCATGTAGCAGTGAGCTCCTGAGCTCTATTACAGGCTGTGTGGAAAAGTACTTCCTCTTGTTTGTTTTAGGCCAGATGTCTAATAGCGCCATTACACTGTCCATACTGCACAGGCTGGGGGAGACAGGGAATGATCATGTCCAGCTGAACTGCACCACATACATCTCAGTAGTCTCTTTCCCAGGCTAAAAACCATAACTTATTTAATCCCCCCATGTGCAGAAGCCATTTCAAATTTCTGGTTAACCTTATTGTCCTTCTCTATCTTTTCTATTTCTACTACATCACCCTGAGACTAAGGGATCAGAAATGAGCTCTCTATTCAACACTCCATATATGTAACAGTGACCAAGAGATACTTTATCTTCTATTCCTTTCCTTATAACTTCTAACATCCCATTTGCTTTTCAGTTATCAATAATTATATTGATTGGGTTTTTTTTTCAGAAAATTATGTATAATAACTTCAAATTCACATAGCTAATAGGGAAATTAAAATTTCATATGTATACTTGAGACTAGTTTTCCCAGGTGCATTATTTAAAATATCTGGGTCCTAGATTTCATCAGCCATTTCTATTTTACAGTCAGTTAATAAAAATAAATCCTTATAATGCTCTTTGCAGTAGGTCATTTGGTTATTCTGAAATATTTTGTCTGATCAAGCAGCAGTCACCACATCATGTATCCCCTTTCTCAGATCATTAATGAATACACTAAACAGAACAGAGGCTGGAGCTGTGCATACTCCTCTCTATTGTGAAATAGAGATAATTTACTCCTACCCTGTGGCTTCTTTCATTTAACCAATTATTAATCTGTGATGTCTTAATATCATCAAGACGCTGGTTAAAAATATCACTGAAAGCCTTTTTTTAAAAAAAATTAACTGCATCACCCTTACACACATATTCTTCACAGAACTAAAATAGATTTGTGAAGGATGACTTCAGTCTATGAAATCTGCTTTGACCCTTCTCCTCTGTGTTGTATTTTACCTCTCTACTCTTTTCTGGCATTTGTTACAGCTTCTACCAATTTGTCCAACACAAAAGTCAGAGGTACTGTTCTGTAGTTCCTTGAATTCTCTCTGCAACCCTTTGATAAAAGCTAGTGTTACATTTGCCACTCCTGAACCATCCAAAAGAAAAAATAGTTTTAAACAATAAGGTAGAACCTACAACTAATTGTTCAACAAACAACCCTGAGTTCAACAGGTGTACGCTTGGCTCACACTGCCTGATACCATCAGTTTGATTCTTCCTTTTCCACTGAATTTTCTAAAATTCTTCTGCTGTCTTTTTACATTGAGGCAGTTCCTCAGATTTACCTCCTATAAAGGAAGGCTTTATGGTTGGGCATATTCCCCAATGAATGCCAGTGAAAAGAATTTATTTTAAGCTTAGTTCCCTGCTTTCTCTGGGCTCCCTGTAATTCTCTCCTGCTGAATTTGAGATGTCAGTATCTTCATTCAATATCAGTTACTCTAGCTCATACCTCTTCATTTTTGACTTTTATTACTGGTAGAAAAGTATTCATATTCATATGAGTTTTTACAGTACATATGAACTTGATTGAGTTTTCTGTCTCATGCTTTATGAGATTTTTATTTTTAATATTGAGCAGTGAAAAAAGGGCCCTTATTTGCCTACACATGATCAGTTATACAGCCTCATGTTTTATAGCATTCTATGCCTAAGTCACCTCAAATATAACAGCAGAAATTAAAAATTCAAGACAGTTAGCTCTTTTACTCTTCTGCAAATTAGTTGTTCCCTTTCCCTCCCTCAAAAATAAAACCAAAAAAACTATTTAACTTAGAAGATGAGACTACATTATTTAGGTATAGTCTTAAATGAAGAAGGAAGGTTTATATTTCTGCTCTGGGTTTATCATGGGTCTCTGAGCAACCAGTAAATGTTTAATGTCATATTTATACTGCCACATGCTGTTATTTTTCCTGCCTGAGAGGTTTCATGGCATATGCCCTCTGCTCATCTGCAGTTGTGAAAATATTTTGGCTGCCATTTGTAGAGTGGACCAACAGAAAGGAATGAAAACACTAAAGAATCCTTTTGTAACTACACAAAATACTCTGTCTGAATTTACCACCACCATTTCAGTGCTTACTTACAAAAACAGAAACACAGCATTATCTCTCTCTAATTATACTTTTTGTTTCACCAGCTATCAACACTGGATATTGCTTTGATAATGAAGCTGACAAACTATTTCTATTCACAATTCATCATCGCCAAATATTTTTATATAAATAACAGGATTTGCAACCATTTACTTTTAAGTACATTCATTCTAGCAGCATTATGTCTAGACCTATCAACTCTAAAGGCCATTTTACCCAGGCCTCTTAAAAAATAAAATGATGATAATTTCAGACATATTTATCTATTGAGAAACTTATGGCTTTAAACTGATATTTTTATTTGATATTGTTGTATAA